AGTACTGCGGCTCCTGCTGGGCCCATGGTAGCACCAGTGCTATGGCAGGTGTGATTTCAAAACATGCTGAATAATAGTGGTTTGTTGGTGGTGTGGAACAGCAGGTCCTCACATGACTGTTCAGAAACATTTTAATATAGATTGGCAGTTCCCGTTCCGCTTTACACAGAAGTGACTTTAAATAACAGGAAGTGGCTGTCGTGCTTTGTATTTGTCGTTAATATTAAATCTTAATGTGTGTTTGCTCTCTCACCAGACCGCATCAACATCAAGCGCAAAGCGGCGTGGCCGTCTGCCTATCTGTCTGTCCAGCACGTGATCGACTGTGGTGATGCCGGCAGTTGCCACGGAGGAGATCACACCGGAGTTTGGGAGTACGCTAACAAACACGGGATCCCAGATGAGACCTGCAACAACTACCAGGCTATAGACCAGGGTAAGAGTCCTTCAGTGCACAAAGGAAAGGTCACAATCACTGTCTGAGTTTGATGTGTGCATGTTCTGTGTACATCTGTGAAGACTGCAAACCCTTCAACGAATGTGGCACCTGCACCACCTTCAACGTGTGCAATATTGTAAAGAACTACACCCTGTGGAAAGTGGGAGATTATGGAGAGGTCAGCGGGAGGGAGAAGATGATGGCTGAGATCTACGCCAGAGGACCGATCAGGTTTGCGACTTATTTATGCTTTTCCTTTGTGGAGCATTAGACATCCCTCTCTGTTAGCTTTCTAAAATATATTTAAGAAATACCAAAGACATTTAATTACAAGTAAGCTCAATGTGCTTTACATTAAGATGCAAACCCCCAAAGACTGAGGAACCCACATAAACCAAACTAGAGCTGCAACGGTTTGTTGCCAACTATTAAATTAATCTCTAACAATTTATATAATCTGTTTTAAGAAAAACAAAATTAAGGAAAAAGTCACAATTCTGTAATTGTGAATATTTTCTGGTTTCTTTGCTCCTCTATGACAGTAAAGTAAATATGTTTGGGTTGTGGACAAACAAGACATTTGAGGACGTCAGCTTGGGCTCAACCTTTTTTTTTGTTTTTTTTGTTTTTCTTTCCAGAATTTTCTGACATTTTATAAACCAATAGCTTATAATTGTTGGTGGCACCCTTAACAAAAACATACAGTATCATCTGCCTGACAAAATAGTAACATTTTCAATAGACCTGTTTCACAGAAGACATTTTTACATGTTAGAGTAGAAAAGCACAGATGTTATTAAGATTAGTCATGGCTGATCACAAACTGTATGAGAAGTACGCTACAGTTTGCAGTCCGGTAGTGTGATAATGTATTAAAAATGGTGGGGTTTTTTACTTTGGGCAACAGGCTGGAGTCTGATGTGTGACAAGCAAGTAGCAGCTGCTACAACTACATTTGATAGTCCAAGAGACCTGTCAATCAAGGCAACACACACCCCTCTTTAAGCTGTAATGTGGGTTTTGTGTGTTGGCACGCTAACATTTGCTAATTAGCACTTAACACAAAGAACAGCTGAGGATGATGGGAATGTCATTAGTTTTACTGGTAATTAGTCATAAACCACAGTATACTGGACACTTGGAAAATGATGACCTGACATCTGACCTGCGCCAGTTAGGGGATCACCAAGCTGTTACAGTTTATCCCATAAGATGGAGGATAACCAGTCATTAGCATTTATCCTGTATTGTTTCCTTGTATCTTGTTCAGTGATCAGTTTGGGGGATGGAAACCGGGCCGAACTAGAGGATCTGCAATTTAAAATGCTTCACATAGACATTAACTTTCAGCTGCTCGGTTCCTCCAAAGCACACTGTTGGCTATTGTACAACTGCTAGTTCACTCCGTTGCATTATGGTGTATACATGTCTTCATGCCTGTGCAGCTCTTCATTATCTGAATTCAATAATTTACCCAGTAAGTAATGTATGGTGGATGTTTTCTCCAGTTGTGGGATTATGGCCACAGATACGCTGGATGCCTACACCGGAGGCCTCTACTCTGAATATCAGGAGAGTCCCTTCATCAACCACATCGTGTCAGTGGCAGGATGGGGAGTGGAGAACAACGTTGAATACTGGATTGTACGCAACTCCTGGGGAGAGCCATGGGTAAGTCCTTCTCAAACATAAAAGATCACGCAGTGAAAGTGGGAATAGTTGTCAGATCTATGGACCCTGCTTACTGAAAGAAGACTTGTTTCTCTGAGTTAATTCCCCTTGACAAGTTGAAGAAACAAATCTCCTTTTTCCAGTTAAGCTTTAACTGCACAGCCCCTGTGAAATAACCGACACTGTTATATTGAAACCTAAATGAGTTACCTAGATAATTTAGCTTTAACAATCAATTAGTGAAAGAATTATTTTCTCAATCAATAGCCCATAAGATTGGGGGGGGGGGGGACCCGGAAATCCTTACAAATGAGAAGTGTGCAAATGTTTGGCAATGATTTAGGATTGATCAATTATCAGAATAGTGTCTCTCTCTCTCGTGTGTTGGGCGATGCCTACATTGAAACATCGGGATGGACGATGACCTCGGGGGTGTGCGCGGGTATAGTGGTCTTATGTGCATGTGTTCACCTCTATGCTTCACTCACACAGACTTCACTCTGCTAAAAACTTGGTAGCCTATGACGTTACATGTTGCGATGGAAATTTTACAAGCATAGACCAGGTAAATCAGCAGTGAACACAGGTGCAGATGTTGGTTTTGGTTGTTTGATAGGCTGCGTCAGCCCACAAGCGGCTCACCTGCTGCCGTGATAAGTTCTGTGTCTTTTAGGCGACTTTATAAAACGTACTGCTGATGGAGAAAGTGGAGTAGACGGGCGAGGGGGGAGACAGAAAGGTGGGGCAAGCCGGTGTATTTAACAGAGGTGTAACGTTAGGCCTTTTGTGTGTCTGAGTGTGGGGAGAAGAGAAATCCGACGAAGGTGCAAGCATATTTAAAACTTCTAATAGTGATGTTGTAGAGCTTAATAAATATAGCCTTCCTATTTAAAATCAAATTTAATGGGCTGTAGCACTTTATAATTTATTAAGGAAAGTCCAGTCTGGTAAATGATGAATGAGCAACACTGTGTAGTAGCCTAATATTAACGCATTGATCCTTCTTCCACTCCTGCGTTTTAGAGCCTGTCATGGTCCGCGTTGGCACGCATTCATATTTCTAGCTTCACCCGATTTGAAATGGAGGCTCTGCCTTTATTTACCCGTTACCATGGTGAATCGTAGTATCTGTAATTCAGAGTTTCCCACCTCAGGCTCAATCAACCCAGAGTTCAGGGATAAGCTGAGTTTAAGCCTTCTTTCTGAAACAGGGCCCTGCTCTTTTATGAAAAGCGCTCTGAGATAACTGTTGTTGTGATTTGGTGCTATATAAATAAAATTTAACTGAATTGAACTGAAGTTGCAGATTGCTTTCCCCGCTCTCCTCAGGGTGAGAAAGGTTGGCTCAGGATCGTGACCAGTGCCTACAAGGGAGGAAGTGGAAGCCAGTACAACCTGGCGGTGGAGGAGGACTGCATGTTCGGAGACCCAATCGTCCCCAAGGAGTACCTGTAGAGGACACCGGTAGCTGCAGTATCAGAGGTCGTCACTGCACACTCGCATTTGTCTTCCTGTCTCGGGCAGAGTAAAACTTTTTATGAAAAATGTTGATAAGGGAAGATTTTACTTTATACAGATGTTTGTTATATTATCTGTTACTCGGGGAGGGGAAATGGGAGGGTATTTTCTAGCTGGATATCAGACCTGCTTGAATCAATGCAGATGTTCTGATTAATTTTTGTTTTTTACCAGTGAGGTCTGCAGGCAGTGTAATGGTCAGAAACATTTACATTGAATGGGAGGAGTGAAACTGTACAATTGATTTCTTTGCTATTTGCAAAATTAAAGTACTGCATGCCGAGTGGCCATTACAGACTCACAGAAGACATTTACCTTAAAGAGGCCATAGACAGCTTTTCATAGTTTGCATTTTTTAATACATACTGACTCAGCCAAAGAACAGTTTTTATAATTTGTCCTGTATGGCTCCAACGCTGAATGTTTTCAGTGTGTGGCGTTAATTTATTGAAAATATTGCACTACAACACTGATAAAGGATTTGTACACACAAACTGAAAAGAACTTTACGTGTGCCTTATGTGAACTTGCAGTCAAGTATAGGTTTATGTAATTTGCCATTTTTCACGCTGAACAATCTACACATCAGAAATTATGCAAGAATTGCAACCTGTTGTTTAGTGTCAAACTTTGCCAATAAACCCAACATTTAAAAGTGATGCTCCATACAGTCTGTCCTTCTGAGTATCAGTCATGCTCCGTCTATAGGGCTGAAAAGGTTCACTATTTCTCTCACATTTGGATTCCTATGGTGATGATTAGTAAATTTATTTTTTTTAAGAAACTTCTCAGCCCACTCCTGCAGCATAATGTATCTACTGTATGTACCCATTGCATGGGCTTATCAAATTATAACCACACCACTGTTCTAACCGTGTGGATGCTGTGAAAGTTAAAGTAGCTCTGCAGAAAACACAACTGATGCTGATTTGTAAGTTTCAGATCAACATTCAGATAAGATCAATGTTATTTTTAACCCTATGCACATGAGAAAATGAATAGACTTAATCTGTCCCATAATGTGAAAGTCTTGATCCATAATGGGGAACTAGTTTTACTGCTGTGCTTTTGAGCACAAAGTGATGTTTGATAAAAATGTAAAAACAAAATGCAAGGATTACATATTCAGGTTTTTATTTTAAAACGGCTCGAACCAACATAAAATATAGAAAATCAAATATACATGTGAAGAAGAAGAAAACATAGCTGCATCTTCAGAGGCTTCTGCTTCGACCGCTCTGTCTTGTTACTGTACTTTCCCATCAGCTCCTTCACAGTTGCCTTTTTGTTGCCTCAACAGAAACTAATTGTTTCTTGGTCAAACTGAACAGTCCATCTCCGAGCAATGTGCTTCATCAAGCAGAGCATTTGGGTTATCATGGAGATAACGGATCTTCTGTCGCTGTTAGATCTTGGTACAATCTCTAACAGGAACATTTTCAGCATCCACTCCTCATCAGTTTATCATGATGAAGTTTGACTTGCAATGAGCTGAAAAACCGGGAAATGATCACCTTCATTATTGTGCTTCCAAGACAATGATTACAAAGGACGTTTAAACAGATGTGATTTCACGATCTCTTTACTGTCAGGGTTGATGCATGAAATCCACTTCCAACTTATTTCTGTGTACCTGCAAAGCTCTTATTTGTTGCACATGGAAATGGTTTTCCCCTCAGTATATCCATAGTTAGTTCTGGAGGTTCGTGGTAGCCTGACTCCACTAAGACACTTTATCGCTTTTTTCCTTTCATTTGTCACCCACCTATAGAGAGTAGACTCACTTAACATGTTAGCACATCACTTACCAATGAACTCCGCAACCGGGTCATGTTCTCCCTCTGTGCGGATGGTTCCTGCGATGCTGTCGTTCTCCAGGATGGGCAGGAAGAGCTGAACAAAGTCTGATGTGTAGGGAGGCGCTATCACATCTAGCACCTATAAAGAGAAACAATGGAGTATAATTAGTTTGTTCTGTTGTTTGTTTGAATGCGCATGTTACAAATATTTACTTGAGTATGTAATATTTATAAACAGCAGTAAAAAAGGCCTGTTTTCAATTATGGCCACTTGACAGACATTAAACCTGCTATAACTGATTTTTGGACACTTGGGGGCAGTAAAGACATCAACACAACACCCACATAGCTTCAACTTTTCAGCCGATATGGTGAACTTGTTAGCAAACAATTTCTTAAAGCATCCAGTAGTTACAGATATCATTTGGAGTTGTGTTTCTGGCCACTTGATGTACATAAGGCCAATATTCACTCTCTTTAGGTCTCTCTTAACTCCACAAGGAAATATTTTGGTCTAGCTGCTAAACGCTCCACTAGGTTCACCAGCTAGTCTCCAACTTTGTGGTGCTGAGCAGGAAGTGTTGAGATGTTTTTTAGAACCTTTTTACTGAAAACGGCTGCCTGCTGCGGCTGAAAATAATGTTATAAGGGGGCTGAACAGTTAAACAATGAGCTGAAAACCTCTATAAGCCCCATAAGGCAAGGAGAGCTGTAGATCCAGGTTATAATTCTTTCTAGGTTCATCATTATGAGTGATCCCTTTCACATATGTTCACATTGTCATTTGATATACAAAGTTATAAAAATGCCAACCACAGCTGCTTTAAAAGCAGATTTGTCAACAAGTCAAAACACGTTGAATATTTAGTTCATGGTAGAGGTGGGAGATGGATTTGAGATAGTCTGGACCTGCAGACACCCTGTAGTGTCTCTGATTGAGGTCACTTCCTTTCTCACATTGTATATCTTTGCCAAAAATCTACATAAGAAGCAGCGGTTACCTCAGTGACGAAATATCTGATGAGGGAGATATCCGTGTTGAGTTTCTCCAGACACTTGCGAATGTAACCAACTACAGGCAGGACATAGCCACGACTCAGCAGATGAACCATTCGGTCCAGCAGAGTCTTCTTCAGCTCCAGCTGAGGAGGAAATAAAACTGTCAGCTGATGGGTGGCACAGTTACAACATACCCACTTCTGTTGAAAACTGCAAGAAACAGCATTAACACAAACACACCTGCTCCATGACATCCAGCTGAGAGTGCTCTGTCTCAAAAAGCTTGACGAGCAGCTGGAGGACCTGCGGGTGCAGCAGCTGGTGACACGTACAGATCTGTGTGGAGGAAGTATTCATTCATTCACTGAATTGATCTGCTCGTCTTGAAGAAGTTAAAGTTTCATCTGGTAGTAAAGTCATACCTCGTCCAGTAAAGCTAAATGTACTGGAGTGTGGTCTGTCTGCAGCTGGAAGTACCGTGGCTCAGACACCGTCCAGTCCACCCATTTCAAAACCCCCATGGCAACTACCGGAAACCTGAACACAAACATGAAGTGAGCGGGGATCAATCAGGAGTGAGCGAGCTGGCCATCGAACTTCAGTTCTTTTTAAGTACAACTGAAAAGTGTTTGAAAATGTCTTTATTTTTGACTAATCTATTTCCTGATTGAAATCACACTTTTATTCACACTCATGAATCATTTCTACTTAGGAAAAGTTCTTGTGCGGCTGATTTGTGTTGAGACAAAATACAGTTTAATAAAAATAAAATTGGTTTTGGGAAAAAAAAGTTTAATACTCAAGTATGGCGTTGAAATAACGATAGTTTCAGTAGTGGTACCAAAACTCATATCAGCCTTGGTATTGGAAATTTTGAAATGATACCCAGCCCCAGCAAGAAGTCAATAAAACCTGGGTCATTATCACAAAAAGGTTACTTGTTTTCAATGCAACTTCATTCCCTCCCAGATGTGTATTGAAACTTTAATACAATTGTTTTCCCAGGTCAACTGGTTGTAAATTAGTTTTTTATTCACTTCAAATTGATCATTTATAGATGATTTACCCCAGTGTTGACATTCCCATCAGGTTTCAAGTTGTTTAAGTAATCTTTAACTTGTAATTGCATTAAAAACACCTCCCTCCCTTAAAGAGAATAGCCAGTTGCAGGCCTTTGAGGAACAGGATCTCGGTCGTCCACTCACCGGATGCACTGATACAAAGTGCCGAGTTCAGCCACCAGCTCTGTGGCGCCTTTGTTCTCATTGCAGCACAGGTTGTGCACAGTCTCTATGGCCTTGGAAGTCGACTTCAGCTCATCTTTATTGATGTTGACTCGCTTGTTCTGTGATTGAACAGGAAGAAAACATGTTAAGGAGAATTTAGGGAGCAGCAGTTATGGTGAAACCAGGGTATGAAACCAGTATCATGGGAATTCGGTAAAGAAATAACCAGTTTACTTTAACCAGTTAATCTAAATCAAACCAGTTAGTCACACAGGCACATGCATCAGCAAAGTCATCCCTGTACCTTTTTCCACGTTTCAACCACGCTGGCAGCGTAGGCCAAGATGTGGATGTATTTGTGTTTATGGTCTTGGTTGATCTTTGATCCGGGTTTAAACAGCGACTGCATGAACAGGTCCAGAAAGGCAGGCACTCTGATCTAAAGACAAGAAAACATGAATACTCCAGTTAACCGCACCTTGATCAACAAGCATGTAGTGCATATAAGCAGGGTCAAAGACGCTGCGTCCTCACCAGCTCCACAGGAGGCGGGTCCATGCTGCTGAACATCTTGAACAGAACTGTAATATCTGCAGGATTCAGGGCTCCTTTGGACAACATGGCACCCAGTGCCTGGCAGGCTCGAGGGTAGGCTGCTGCTGTACCGAGAGCGAGGGTTATCTGACTGGCATCATGACCTCTGTAAGAAAAACCACAACAACTGAATAAGTAGTGAAATGTGCACCCCCCCGTAATCAATGTTCCAGATTTGAAAGTTAGCTCCTGTGGACTCCACTGGATGGTTAAATTGTGTCAACATCAATTTTACCTCCTGAAGCAATAGCAAAGAGGGCACGTCATGGTGAAATTCTGCTAAAAAAAACAAAGGGACACAGGTACCTCTCATGCGCGGACTTCTGCACCTCCTGGCCGATCCTACGAACAGCTGAACCGCCCTGTTCTTCCTGAGCGAGGATGGACATCATGGACTGGGCAAAGAGGTATGTGTGCTCGCCGTGACAAACCATCTTCTACAGGAGAGACAAGGTAACAGCTCAGCAGAGATCATCACACGTGATCAACACTAACTTATACACACTGTGGTGTTAATATAACAAAGCTTGATATTTTCATTTGGGACTAAACTTTCACTCCATAAGACAAAGAGGTAAATCAAGAAAAAAATATAATCCATTGTCTGTAAAATGTGACATGGAGAAAAACAGCCAACGAGGTTTCCCAGAACCCAAGACAACATCTTCAAATGGTTTCATCTGACCAAAAATCAAAAATATTTAATTTACAATGATATAAAACAGAGAAATGCAGTAAATCCTTACAGTGGAGGAGTTGAAATCAGTGAATATTTAGTGTTTCTTGATAAATGAGTTAAAAACGATACATCAATTATCAAAATGGTTGATAATTATTTGTCAAGACTGCATGGTACTGAAATTACAATATAAAGGATGAAGTCCTCGCTGTAAAGTAACAGAGGCAGGACTAATAAATTAATGGAGTAAATGCTGATTTATATTTCACAGCACCGTGGTTAATGAAACAGAGAAGTTAAACAAAGCTCACAGCAAATTCTGGCAGGTTCTTCTCCAGGTTTTCTTCTCCTCCATCCAGCAGCGCGGCCAAAGACGTCCTCAACACCCGGGAGAAAACCTCCAGCTGCTGACACGCTGTGGACACGCTGGTGATCTCACCCTGATAACCTGCATCTGAAATAAGCTGAACACACACACACGCAAAAGGTATGTGACGTGAACAACACACACACACTTCTGAAAGATTTGCTTTCACCTTTTTCTTTTTTCACAATGTAAAAACTTAAACGAGGCAGTTCTACATATTGATCCCATCTGAAGTTACCATGTTTGCTAATTGCTATTATTTTTATCAAAAATATATTAAATTTACACAAGGGAGTAGGTTTACCCCCCCCGCAAACCTACACCCTTTAATTTACTGTGACATGCAATCACATTCAATGAGCAAAATTTTTGTAGATTAATTGAAATGACCATAATAAATGAAAATGTTAGAATACAAAAAAGTTAATTTTCATTTCATCGCCTAATCGATATAATAATGGTTTCAGCACTTACCTATTTTCCATTTATCTGATAAGGGTAAACAAAAATTATAACTCTCGGTTCCCTTTATTGTTAGTTTGAAGTATTTTAAATCACCAACATGTGTAAAATTGACTCCCTCCACTCCCAAGTATAATTACATGTCTTAAACTCCGGGGCCAGGACCTGTGCTGCTGCTACAACTACCACCACCACCACCACCACTACCACCGTACCTTTACAGTGAAGTTGAGCATCAGGCAGTCTGGGTGAGCCTCTGCCAGCTTATAGAAAAGATCTCTCCATGTGGTGTGCGCTATCATCTGCTCGAGCCAAGCTGGAGTCTGAAAACACAGGGTACTGGATTGGTTTGGTCTGTTAAGAGCTTCACTTACATCTTAAAATCCATAAATCTTTTGCACATGGCGTTCAGGATTTGTGATTACTTGTATTAATTAGAAGCGTGTTCAAAAATCTCACCTCTCCCTCAACAGTGAAAATGGAATCAGCTTTCTGAGGGTCAAAGTGTTTTATCAGGAGACTCTTGAGGTGATTTTCTACTCTCTCTTGGACCTGAGCAGGCTCCACACCTGCAGTCACAATAAAAAAAATGACAGATTAATTAAAAGTCACCAGGTAACGGTTGGAGGAAGGGAAGGGTTTTTTGTGGTACAGCAATGACATCTCCAAGCCCAGAAAACATCACTGGATCTTGTGGTCTGCTACTTACCCATCTGGATGAGCCACTCTGCCAGCAGATTGACGGTCTGAGCCACAGCAGAGTAGTTCTCAGAGAGCAGCTGGATGACATGTTCTGGAGAGCCACCTGCTTGGAAATACCTGCAAGAAAAATATGGTTTCTATCATCCAATTCTCAGTGGCTCTTTATGATTTGTGTACCCTCTCTCATTGGTCACAACACTAGTCGTCTTGTGCAGTTTTCACAGTTATTTTGTCTCATTCTCATTTAGAAATGGTTTGTGTGTTGCAAAGTGGCTGTACCCACAGAATTCATTCAATATTATATTTGTATGAGATAACAGGTGCTCACGTTTTGAGGGTGTTGAAGATGGCAGGTTCCATGATGTAATCCCTGCTGGAGAATTTCTGCAAACAATCTTCCTGTATTTTCCCATCATTTTCCCCTTCAACATAATCCTCCTGAAAGACACATTCATAAACAGAATCAGAAACAGCTTTATTGCCAAGTAGATTTTACACATACAAGGATTGTGCTTTGGTGACTATGTGCGTAGCAATAGATATAAACCATCCATCTTCAGCCTTATCCTGCGTACAGGGTCATAGGGGGCTGGAGCCAATCCCAGGTGGCTAATCCATCGCAGGGCCACACAGAGACAAACAACCAGTCACACGCACACCTAAGGACAATTTAGAGACACCAATTAACCTAGTCCGCATGTCTTTGGACGGTGGGAGCAAGCTGGAGCACCCAGAGAGAACCCACGCAGACACGGGGAGAACATGCAATGGCCTGGAACGACCAAGGTTTCTTACTGTACACAAACCACAACCTTCTTGTTGTGAGGCGACAGTGCTAACCACTGCCCCGCCCCAATAGATATAAACCTATACTATAAATATAAAAATACTAAATAAACAAGATGTACAAGTTATAAAAGAGTAATAGAGACTATGTGCAAAATGCCAGTCCAGATTTGTATTGAGCAAACATTTAAGGACGACGTTTGGGGGGACATGAGAGTCAGTGTCAGTGGGGGCCCTGGGCCTTGTTGATGAGATCAGCTGCAGAAGGGAAGAAACTGTTCTTGTGGCATGAGGTTTTGGTCCTGATGTAGGAGGGTGTCTGAACATTTGTTGTGGTTTATGCTTCTATAGTAGCTCTTCTGTCTTAGTTTTACTTAATAGTAACACACTATTCTCTTTATCTTTATGTATTTTGCATGGCACTTACGGGATGGCAACAACAGTGCTATTTAAAAAACACCATGGACAACATCAGATTTCCTGCTCCAGCTGTTTAACTGATTGAGCATCAGCAGACTAATTGTGAGCTTAAGTTCCACAGCAAGATAAGAGTTTACGTCTACAACAAAACAATTTTCATAAGTCACTAGGTAAGTTGCTATGTTCCTGTTTTTTTCTATTGTCTAACGTTAGTCTCCTGTGTCACCAATTGTTCTTACAAACTTATTGTTTGACAAACCAGTGTAAAATTAAACACAGCTTTGTGTTATCGACGACGAAATGTTTATCTGAACAAGCGACTACAATTTAACAACTTACAATTTACGCACCAACACTTGCAGTGACAAGACATAAAATAAAGTTTTTACTGCTACAGTGGGCTAAGTAGAAGTTAACATGCATGTCCACAGCTGCTAGCCTGTAGCTGGCTGCGAGTTCAAACCATGCCGAACATCTCCACAGTGCAGCCGTGTAGACACGTCTATCTCAGTGTTAGCTGGACCTTAATGCAGCGCTGTTGTCACAACAGGTCGGCACAGCTCGTGTAGCCGCAGCTAAGCTAATGCCGCTTAGCTCTTCGTGCAGTCTGAGCATCCACACAGCAACAAGTAGGGAGCTCACCAAGTTACCGTCGGGGCCCTCCCAGTCTCCAGCGCTGCTGTAATATTCCTCGTCCATGGTGACGGGAAAGAAGCAACGTTGAACCAGCAGCAGTAATCCAGCCGTACGTTTTAAATCTCGACGTGATTTATTTTTTACCGCTTACAGTGTCGGGCGGTCGAATATGTTCAGCTAGCCTGTTTAGCTAGCAAAGCTAACAACAACAGGCGGAAAATGGCGAGGCGGTGATCAGCAGGCCACGCCCCCTCATTTATTATCAAGTATTTCCTCCCCGAAATCAGTCTGACAGGCACAACTGTCTAATAACTTGATTAGTTTAGATTCTCACTAATTTAGTATGTTAACTTAAAATGATTAAACATTTAAACCAAGCACAACAATTTAGCCAAAAATAGTTAATTCCGGATTTGTACAGTAAGAAAATTAAAATACAATAATAATTAATTTTCTATGGCAACCGGCAACTCTTCTAGAAGCAGCAGCCGGTAGCTCCTTCAAACTTCGCTAAGCTACACTTTTGTTTTTTACGTGTTTTTTCTGGCTTTATTGCCAAAACATGCGTTACCTCTGACGTAAGTAGGCCTACAATCGTTGGAAGATGAAGACGGGGTTTTGGGATTAAAGAGCAGCAGACCACGATCCAACTGGACCAGCCACCACGGCGGGTGCGGTGATCGCTCAGAGGAGAGGAAAAAGAGCCAGGAGAGGAGCCATGCTGGTCCAGCTTGGTCTTAATTCTGCTCCTAAAGAGCCGGTCTGGACAAAATGGGACTCATATTGACCGAGCAACGGAATTTAGAGACTGTTGTGCCTACATCGTTACAGAGACCTGCCCCATCAACATCCCCGATCAAGCACTCGGCAGGTGGTCCATGTTCCGAGCTGCCAGCGCAAGACTGGCAAGATGAGAGGAGGTGGACTCTGTGTTTTACATCGATGATGCTTGGTGCACAAACGCAGTCAAAATGGACTCTGTTTCCCAAATGTCAGACTGTTTATTGTTAAGATGAAACTTTCATACTATCATCTGCTGTTTACATTCACCCCATGCAAATTAAAAAAATGCACTGTGGAGTGTTCGGGTGTAAGTTAAGTGTCTGTATATCAATAACTGTATTGTTTTATTTTGTTTTATATGTTACCATATTTTAATATAGGCCTACACTTAATTATATGTTGTGTTTGACTGAGCCTACACAAAGTGACACAAGGTAGGCCTATTCCTCTTGTTTTGGGAAAAACTGGAACAAATTAATCTCTGTGAAATGACATCTTACATATTTCTATACCGTTTGTCCTGGTATTGTACCTCATTATTTTATTCTTATTTTACTGATATGGACCTATGTGTCTAAAATAAAAGTTGATTAATTGATGTCAATAAAGTTAGTTGCGTTTTTATTGTAATTATTAAAGTAAAATATGGTGAGGTGCCTAAGCTCATTGATAGAAATTGTGTGGCCAAAATAATAGAGACACCCAGTATAGCTCAAAACAATTCCTCAGCACCACAAACTACATCCTCAAATTAACCACAGGGTCCTAACAAAACTAAACATTATAACCTTTGTCAAGGTGAATTTATTGCAGGTAAGGTGTATTATTAGACTGCATTAGTTTTAGCCAGGTGTAACTAATAAACTGGCAACTGAGATAACTTTACAAGGAGCAGAGACACTATTTTAAAAAACAAAGTCTAAGGATGCACAAAGGGATACGCATATATATTGTTACACCAGAGAATAACTCAACTTGCTCATGATAAGTACATCTCAGGTTAAATGAAAGAAAAAAACTCCTAAAATGAACATTACAACTTGACAGAAGCAGCAGGTGGTGCGGCTGGCCAGGATGTGAAATTACACTGTGGTGTTTTGTATTTGCATATATTACCAACATTTAAGCTGAGTGCATGAGAAAAAGTGAGTGTATGTATGCACACAAGCATTTTGCACACACAGCTGTGCCTTCAACAACTGAATGTGGGCAGAAATAGTTAGCAAATTAAGAAGTAACATCCAAGTGGATGAAAAAGAGCTATGAATACTGTAATGCCTAAACTAAAAATAATGTGTTGTGAACTGGAACTTGAACTTGTTCTCTGCAGAGTACTGAAAGTGATAGATACCTACACAGTCCAGTACATTTGGCTTGCAGACATATCATGAGCTATATAAGGACTGCGGTCCTGGTTAATTTGAACAGGGACAGATGAGGGGTTTTGCTTGATTTTATTAATATCTGTACTAATAAACATGGGTGGTGGTGAATTATTTGTGTATCTTGTTGTTTATTAATACATTTATAAAGTTTCTTAAGACTACGACTGTAAGCTGTTGGACCTCAAGGATACACATAATGCATTTTAATAACACTTAATATAAACTTTTGTTTGTTGAAAACTCCATGATGATCCTTTATGTACGTTTACTGGTCTGATGGACATGTGCCTGAAAAAGTTCATGTGAAGCTCTAGTCCTAGTTATTGCTGCAGTTATTACAGTGATTTAAAAAATCACTAATCTCCACTAGATGTCAATATGGCATGATAAATCATTAATCTGCAGCCATGTTGTAAGTTTTTAATATTTATGTATACACAATGATTTTAATATGAATAAAAAATGTGTACATGAGAGTTTGTGTGTAAATAATTTTAAGAATTAAATTCTTTCTTAATTTTATTAACTGGTAAAGACAAAAATTAATCCCCCCTATCGACCCCATAACTGCCGTGAAATCGGTTGTGTATGAAGTAGTCCGCTTTCTCAACAGCTCACATTCAGGTCACAGTCAGTTTGCAGCAAAGACTGAAAAGAAAAAACGTCACAATGAGCAGTGACAGTCCAAGGTCACAAAGAACCAGTTCTGCAGCCTTCATTTAATACAGTTTGGCTAGCGTAATTTAAAAATGAACCCACAAAAAATGCTAAATTTTACTTTTATGGCATTCAGCTCTGAGAGGATCAACGAGTACAGGCATATGGGAACAAAGATTTTTATTTTATAATGCAAACAGCAACATATTAATTATATTATTTACCCAAAGTAGCAGAAAAAAAAGGTCATATACCCGTGGCAAATAAATCACACAGTCTGTGTTAAATCTAAGTCCAACACAATATTTCCATCCTAAACCATAAAGGGAAAATCCACCCTCAAACAAAATGTACATTCCTTTGATGTCGGACAGTTCTTATTTTGTGAACATAATAAAGTCTCACCCAGCACCACAAACAAGGGATCCAGGACTCCTATTTTTCCTCCGCAGACAGCGCATAAGGGAACCAGAGTCAGTGATTTGTTAAGGGACATGGGCAAATATGCAGGTGCAAACCTTTGCACATTTTAGAGCAACCATTTTACAGTCGCTGGTTTCTGATTCAAGTTATTTTTGTTCACAGATTAATTGAACTGTGTAATATCATAGGATCCATAAAGTGAAATCTTCAGGGTTTTTGCTTCAAGAAGGCATTCTATCAAATAATTTCTAAGCACAAATATAGCTCATGTGAAAACTGAACCTCAGTTAATCAGTTCAGTTATTGCTTAGATAAATAATATTTACTCTACAAGAGAAAGATAATTTTTCACATTGTTCAGATGCATGTAAAAAAAAAAAAGGCAGTTCTAAAATGTGATGTCAAATTGACTTTTTTTGGTTGAAAAATCCCTGCGCTGTTGGTTCTTGAAACATTTTGTACACCTGCATCAAGTCTCGGAAAGTTTCAGAAAGGATTAGTTGATTGGCTGAAAAACCAGCCATGTGACGATAATAGTGACAAAAGTCTTTTGAATCTCTGGAAAAAAACAGTAAGTAGCACCATGTTTACTAAGGGCAAGCCAGAAGGGTAAAGGGGCAAAGCCACAGGGCACACAGAGTTCAGGAGTGCACTGAAGTGCTACGGCTGGCAACAAAAACTGCTGATCCTTCAAAGTCACATTTTGGTCTTCATTCTCCTCTGTTGTAGTCTGGCTGTGTGCAGCTTATGCAAATATACTCCTCCTTCTCTGCTCGCTCGGCAGACAGACCCACACAGACCTGGTGGAACCACTGATTGCAGCTGCCGTCGCACTGGACCCAGTTTACCTGAAACGCAGCAAGATGAGTGGTTTAATGCACTGCATTTTTCTTGTATCATTATAACTTTGTATATTATAAATTTGAACAAAACAAGAATTGTAAATTGGTTAAAACTGAAGACTGACCTCGTCGCCCTCTGGCTCTCTGCACCATGGTGCAGCACACAGTGAGTAGTCCTCCTCTGAATCTGAAGGAGAAGGGTCAGACACTGTGTGTGTGGGAGAACATGTCATCTTGGCTTCTTCACTTCTCTCTTTGCTTTTCTTACACTTCTTTTTGCGACACTTCTTGGCCTTCTCACTGTGCTGAGAGTCTGAGCTTTCTTTACGCCGCTTGGTCGTTTTGCTCTGACTGTTCAGTGCCTCCTTTTTGGGACTGGAAACTCCATTCTGCATTAAGATGTAATTATTACAATAAATATAATATCACTACGTTTTGGTATAAGTGCGATTGAGAATATCATCTGTCGTTACCTTGTGGTGGTGGGGGCTCCCCCTATGAGACTCTTGGTTCTCTTCTGTGTTGTTCCCACAGGGGGCGTTGTGTGAGGGCAAGGGGGCCAGTTTGTATAGCAGGTATCTGTACAGCTGCTCGGTTTCAGGCAGAGTGACCTGCAGCAGGAATCCCTCAACCATCAGCTCCTCCAGCTCAGGGCCGAGGCCTGTGATGAATATGATGAGCAATGGAGAGTTCAGAGGGTAAATAAATAAAATCATAGTATGTGATGTCAAAGTGCTTAAAGCTTGAACACCGACCCTGGAGTGGAACAGACCGGTGCTCTGTATGAAACATTGAACCATTTATTTCCTGAGTCAGATGAGAAGATCCTCCGGGTCCACCTTTCCCCTGAAACAACAAACCATCAACTTCAGTAAGCCTGACAATGATTGGTGTCTACGACGCCATCTAGCTACGGACACTAATAAAGCAAACAGACCGTCTGATGGTGAATTACATCAACTCAACAAGATCATGAGACCCCTCTAGTGAGCTCCATTTGCACCGAGTTATAACATGTTTTCTACTGACCATCTTTGACACTTTCTCCAGCACTCCCTCTGTGCAGGCCTGCTGAACTCTGTGCTGCCATCGCACCGTCCTCTCGATAAGGAAGCGCAGGGCG